GTATAAACAACCAGCTAAATGCCTAAAGGTGAAAAGTGCTAATGCTAGGACAAAGGACCCATAAGGGGTAGATAATCCTCGTGGCTATCCTGCTGGCCATGTAATGCAGAAGCACTCTCCTTGGCATTATAAGTCCAAATCAAGTTTCGTACATAGACCCCTCCAAACAATGCTTGAGTTGAGACCCCACAATTATGCTTTCTCACTACTTGCCCGCTGCATATCCCAAGTTGAATGACTCTAGGTTTCTTTCATCAATGAGTTGGTTCCTTAGTTGAGCAAGTCTCTTACTTCTTCTTGGTTTATTTATGACCCCTCCTTGAATGTGGCTTATGAGCTTTTCAAACCTTGCTTGGTTTCTTTTCTTGACAGACTCTTTCGTTGCATGCCAATCCCCTTTACTCTCCTCTTCATCTGATTCCAAATCAGTTTCCCATTCAGAGGTGTCATCTAATGGAAGGTGTCCTTTCTGTGAAAAATGTTGCTGCTCAAAATCAGATCCATAGGCTTTAGAGATGTTCCAAGAGTTATCTCTTTCAGTATCCGATGTTGAACAACCCAAGAAAGTGAGATCCGGTTGAGGAGGTGCTAGACTTAAAGTGGGAACCGGATGTTGGGTTGTTTTAGGGACAAAATCTTTGGCTTTTGCAGAGAGGAGGGAGCATGTAGAGGGATTCAGTGCAGGAGTTGAGGTCTGACAGACTGCAGAGGGGGGATTGGGATTTGCTAAAGGGTTTATTGTTAGTTCCATGACAGAGCCGACTTCCAACTTGAATAGAGTGGAGGAAATGTACATGGATGTATCAGTGGGAGTGGGAATTGAAAATCCGCAAACTAAAGCTCTGTCTATGAAAGGTTCAGGAGGGGGAATAGCCCTAGATAGGTGTTTAAGGACTAGCTCCAATCTAGCTTTAAAGGTTGTAAAGCCATTACCTTGATGGCCTTCCGGGATGAATATCATACTCCTTCCATCTTGTCTTCTTTCTATGAGTTGAAGAAAAGATCCTTTAGGGCTAGGTCTAAATCTAAGAAAGAGGGATCTCTTAGGTTCTGTCTTGACTGGACAATCTATGGACCCATCCATGGTGAATTTAGATAACGTATTGAGAAGCCAGTATCCAGCATCCAAACCAAGCCAAATTGGGTGCTTCCTTCGTTTGAAAAACTCAGAGATACATATCTTTTTATTATAAATAGATGTAGACAGCGTGAACTCTTCTCAAAGATGCTAAAAACCATAGGGATGATGTCTTTGACAGGACGGGGAAGAAAGGAGTTACCATCGTTCTCTGTTGGTGCTTTTGGGTTGAGGGCCTCCTGAGTGACCGTCTCTTGGATAGATGGTATCGTCTCCTTCGAAGAAGACGGTGGATGCGCGACCGCCGAGAAACCCTTAAGAGTGTCAACATATGATTTTGCACCAACGAGTGCAGCATTAGATCGGAAATCCTGCACTCTGAGCAACGGAGCTCCAGGATATGTCTGATTCTGGCGATTTAGGAGGGAAGAGGAGTGTATCGCCCGGTAATTGATCGGAGTTTGGGCGTAGAATTTACCAACTGCCGTCTCTCTCTCACTAAGCAAAACCAGACGCTCCATTTTATTTTACTATTTTATATATATATATATATATATATATATATATATATATATATATATATATATATATATATATATATATATATATACTGTAGCGATACACCACGTGTATATATATATACATATAATAATATATAATAGAGGCTCAAATTTTTTAATCCGGTTTTAAGTTTGAGGCAATATAAGAAACGAAATCACCATGGCTGCAACAACGGGGGTTAATTCCGTTACGCCACGCCAAGATACGTTCATTTTCTTTGATGCCTCAAACATTAAAATCCTAAAAATTCACCATAATAGATTTCAGTCCTTCCATATCAGCACAGCCCTATATTCAGACACACACTCCGCTGTTGTGACCTTTATATGATATATTAAGTTACTACGGAGTAATAATTATATATACAATATAATATATAATATATAATATATAATATATAATATATAAAATAAGTATATGTATATTAATATGTTAAAAAAATATTAAAGTGAAATATTATAAGAATTTGTTAAAAAAAATACATATTCATACATCAAAAAGAAGTATTGATAGGCAAAGAAATTTTTTTGAAATTATAACGGGACATATTAAACTGAAATGTTATAAGAATTTGTTAAAAAAATATATTAGAATGAACTTCTTTTCTCTATCTTTTATATATATATATATATGTATATATATATATATATATATAGGGATTGACTCCAGTGAGATGACATGCTTCGGTGAGATGACGCAAAGCTCACCACACTACATTACAAAGCTCACCAATGGACAATGCAAAACTCACCTAGAAATAAAGTAAAGCTCACCACTTTGAACACCAAAACTCACCTTTTTTTAATATTAAATATTTAAAAATAATAAAAAATAAAATAGCAACACCGGCAACCACCGATCAGCGGCGGCGGTTGCCGGCGACCGGCGGTGTGGCGGCATAGGATTCCGGAGACCGGCGGCAGGGCAGCGGCAGATTCCGGTGACCGGCGGAAGGGCGGCGGCGGATTCCGGCGACCCGCGTTCGGTGGAGGCGAGCCGGCAGGTGGCGGTCAAAGGTCTCGGTCAACGGTCAAAGTCCAGTCAGCACCCATTTCTTTTATTTTATTTTTTCAAAAAAATTCAAATTGTTGAAAAAATATGGTGAGTTTCGCCTTACAATTTGGTGAGCTTTGTAGTTGTCCTTGGTGAGCTTTGCAGTTGGCAGTGGTGAGCTTTGCGTCATCTGACCGTAGGATGTCATCTCACTGGAGTCAATCCCATATATATATATATATATATATATATATATATATATATATATATATATATATATATATATATATATATATATATATATATATGTATGTATGTATGTATGTATATATAACGAGTTAAATGAGATAGAAAGAATTCGTATAAAGGTAAAGAGAGAAAGATCCGTTGAAATGAAGTTCGAAACAAGAATCTTACATCCATAAACAAAGAGCCATCGAACGGCGGTGTAGAGACAGAGAAGGAGGGAGCGAGACAGGCGACGGCAGAAAGGGAGCGCGACGGCGGAAAGGGAGCGACCGAGAGAGGGAGAGAGAGAGAGAGAGAGAGAGAGTCGGGTTAGTGGGCTGGGTTGAAGCGTTGTAGTGGGCTGGGTTGAAGCGTTGTAGTGGGCTGAGTTTATACAATTGGGCTGGGTTGGTTTAGTTTAAAAAAATTGTAAGGGGCTTAAATGGGTTGATGGGTTTGAGTATATTCAATTCCGATCCAATTTAGCTCGGGTTTGGATTTAATTTTGACGGGTCAATATAAAATATTTACTTTTTCAATTCAAATTCAATTAAAGATTTAATCGGGTTGGTTGCGGTCAACTAGGTCCATTTTTTTGTTTTTTTATTTAACATGTTTAAAAATTTATTTTAATAAAATTCTATTAAAAATAATATATTTTTATATATTATAAGTTACTATATTTATTGCACAATTAAAGTATTGAAATGATTTCTATATACAATGTATCGGACATGTTATTTTGATGAATTTTTGGAATGTTAACTATTTGTATGTCTATTATGATTATGACAAATGTTAGTTTTTTGTTATGTAATTCCAAATTTAAAACGATAAACATTAGCAATGTATCATTCTCTACGCTTACAAGAAATGGATAACGTATTTCTTTTTATTGTTAATTTTTTATGTAAAACAGCATATCTTCCTATTTGTATGCATATAATGATTATAACGAATGTTAGATTTTTGTTATGAAATTCTAAATTTAGAAGGATAAATATTAGAAATGTATCTTTCTCTACGAATGTAGTTTATAAAGAAGTGTTCCAAAACTGATTCCGCTTCATATCGACTTTGCTCATTACTACATAGAATTCCCTTTTTGGGGAATAATATTAATTTATGTAATCTTTCCGGTTTTGTAACATTTTTCATTATTCCAAACATTGACTAAATATATGTAAATTAACAGCCCGTGGATCGCACGGGTACGAGTCTAGTCAAGATATCAAAACCAGTATTGGAATGGTGAAAAGAAATATGTCTATGAGTCACTTTGACGAAATGCATGACTACCATTGCTATTTCGGTACGAGATTTTTCTAACGTTTCGATTTTATTATATCCATTCAGTAAGTATGTATACTTTGAATATGCATTTAAATATGTATCAGTTTAGATAAATATTTTATTTCATTTCACTTATTTTTCTATATTATGCAAGAGTTTAATATTTAAAAATAATTTAAGTGAAAAAATAGCTCCTATCTCTCAAATAAATATAGTTAATTGATGCTTTGCTTACAATATAATGGTGTATGTTTTATAAATTTGAATTTATGATTTTTGTAGTTAGGCACGACTGTTGACGAGCCAAATGTTGTGCCTAGTGAAGATAACGTGACATGATTTGACTGGATGTGCTATATATGTAACACCCCGGCCGTAAGTGTTCGCTCATAGGATTGTAGACTGTCCCCACAAACCAACACAAGTCTTTCCCGCACACTTTGTCCTCACTCGTGCGCGCCTAAGGAAAACTTCCCAAGGGGTCACCCATCATAGAATTGCTCCAGGTCAAGCACGCTTAACCTTGGAGTTTCTAGGTGATGAGCTCTCAAAAACAAGATGCACCTTGTTGGTATGAGTAGTACTATCAATCCTTTTGAGCTCTTCCCATTCCCATCTTGATACGGGGTATTACAATATACGCAGGTGGCACGGCCGGGGAAGTGCCTTAGAGCACTGGAAATACCCGTGAAGCCCCGGGCTTCTAACCGAGGCTTCAAAATTTCTCTCTCTGTCACGTCAGTTTTAACTTACCTCACAAATTCAGTGGAAATGAGTTTGAAGCCTCAGAGCTTTAAAATGGGGCTTCAAACCTTCATCTTTTACATTTTTAAATATACATCTTCTAAAACTAAATTAATAAAATTTAATTAATTTATTATTTAATTATATTGAAACACGAATAATAAAAAAATACATTCATTAAATTTAAAGAAATTGAAACAAAACTAATTTAAAAAAATTACATTCATTAAACTAAAAAAAGCAAAAATAATAAAAAAGATACATTAATAAAAAAACTAAGTTAAATTATATTTCGCCTTGATCTCTTTTTGTCTTAGCTCGTAGATCATCCGTTTGAAACCCGATAACGTAGAAAGGTCGGTTTCCATGATTTTGATCTCCTCCTCCTGCTCCTTTCGCTTCATCCTCTCTTCTTCTCGAATATTGAACACCCGAAGTTGTTCAACCATTGCTCGATTGATATCGTCGCGAGAAGAAACGAAAACAGAGCCAGACCCTCCAGAACCCGAGGCAATGGATTTTGCCTTCTTTCTTCCGATCGGCCATGGAATGGGGTCCTCGTCATTGGAATCCGCTACGTTGAAGGGAGGCATTTGTTCAGACGAACCGATAGTGTCGTCGACCTCAACCTCGGCATCGACAGAGGATCTTTTCTTTGAGTTGTTGCCACTTCGGGGAACGGTTCAAAATCCTCCAAAGATCGATGGGCACCTTGCCCTGGTGCCCGTCATCTTGATACCGGGTCATAGCAAGCCGGAGAACAACGGCGTCGTTCGTCCCGCTCCTCCGGGACCCGGCGCATTCCTCGTAAACTCCGATAAACTTTTGGACTTTACGGTTCATGTGGCTCCATTTGGAAGTTAGTTGGTCCCGGATCCGTGAAGAACTTCTCCTCGATACGATCCCACATCGCATTCGTTTGCTCCGAACCTTTAAAAAAGTAGAACACGAATATTTTTTTATCACACGATTAAATATAATTTTATATAAATAAAAACATAAATATATTAGAAAACATATAATTTTTACCAACGATAGGATGCTTGGAGACGTCAACCCAAGCCGACGCCAATAAGCACTCTTCCTCCGGCGTCCACTTTTGGATTGACCGTGCCACCTCGGTCATCGTGCCTTTTCCAGCGTGCACTTTTTTTGGAGCCGGATGGTCCCGGTTGAGTCTCCAGAACCGAATCTCCCTCGACGTACCCCGATTGTTGCGTCTCGAACATCGGCGGATGATTCCCGATTGTTGATTCTCGTGAGGCTCGAGATCATCGAGGAAGAAGTTGGAAGGATTCATTTTCAAAAGAGAGTTGGAGAATTGAAGAATTGAAGAATGTGAAGAAGATTGAAGAAGATTGAAGGTGTGAGAATGGGAGGGGGGGAGTTTGAAATTTATAAACAAATAATTTAATTTTTCTTTTTTTTTGTTTCAGCGGCTATAATAGCCGTTAGGGGGGGAATCAGCGTCATTACTTTGACGCGTGCTGGGTGACGCCAGGGTAACGCCGCAGGGGGGCAGTGTTTAACGCCCCCTGGGCGAGAAAAGCTCCGTAACGCCGGTCAGCATTAGGAGTATTACCAGTGCTCTTAGTCCGACCCTAAGTCAGTTTTTGCGAATCTGTGGAAATTCATTACCAGTTTAGTACTGCATTTTAATAAAATTATATTTGCTAGAGTATTTGCAGTTATTTTTTTATACAAAATTATTATTTTTTTGAAGGCATTCTCTTAACATTTTATTTCTTACAAGTTTTGATTTTTTAGCACTTGTGACTCAGGTACTATTTCTATATCATTTAGAAGTTGAATGTACAATAAATATGTTTTGATTAAATATGGTTTGACACGTGAATATCTTGATGGTGTAGAAGAATTTATTACATTTGCAAGTGCCAAAACTGAATTTCTTAGTAGAGAGAAAATTTGGTGTCCTTGTGATAATTGTAAAAATATGCACTTTGTTATTGCGGACTATTTGCGTTGGCATCTATACACTGAAGGTTTGTAACACCCCAACCCACGTAACTCGAATAAATAAATTACCTGGGTTCCTACTAAATTGGTACCCACATACAATAGTTTCCAATAAATTCAAAATATTTAATTTAAAAACTCAAACAATTTAAATACATATCGGAGGTTATACCAACAGTGCAAAAGCTTTATAATTTAATCTAACATCAACTTTATTAAATCTCTGCATCCGTATATCTCCTCTGTCATGCTGCTTTCCGGAATGGATTCCAAAACCAGCCTTCCACGACCACCTACGTGTAACAAAGGGGAAAAAGGGGCTACACGCTCATCAATGAAGCTGAATGAGAAATATATAATAGTTCGAACATACACATAAGCGAATCAACTAATTCATAATCATCACATGATATCATGCACACAACATGCATATCAACAATAATACAGTATACAAGGTTTAACATGCATAATCAACATCATAATAATTCATAGGATACAAACAACAATGGTATAAATGTTAGGAACTTTCCTTTTTAGTTTACTTTACTTTCTTTATCGTACTTGGCTCTTAACCTGTGATAGGTAAAAGCTTAACTGAATTTTACTTGCCTATGGAGTCATGACCTTCCCCTTCAAAACGAAGGTCAAGCTCAAACCAACTCAGGAGTTCCTTGTTGGGTGGGTGAGATCCCTGTCCCCTTCGAAACGACAGTTCTTAGATCCCCGTGTACACGATTTTACCCGAACAACCTTTGGACCCAGCAGGTACCACATGATCTAATTTACTATACTTATGGCATACCTTGCCACTAAAACGTTCAGGTCATTTCCTAGAGTTCTTCTAGGTGATATATCCAACATTCATTAATTAATGTATCATATAATATTCACAAATCAACAATGCATTCAACGAGATATCCAACACAATCAAACCGCAGCCTAACACTGGGTGTAAACACTCATGTTTACCCTCATGCAACACACAGAGTCTCGGAATCAATCCTTGACAAAAACACAGATCGACAGGCCCGACATCTTGTACCAGACGGTACCTGTCACGGTACGGGGTATCATCCTCACGGTACCTGGGTACCGATCCTATGGTACCGGGGGTACAGACCGAATCAAATGAACCCTTCCGGTAGGACTGCCCCATTAGCAAACTACCGACCAAGCGGCAAGGCCTACCGTACATTTCGTACCTAAGTACCGCACAGTTGCAGCTACCAGCAAAGGCGAAAGAAATCAACATAGTGTGACGGTAGCACACTACCGTCCTGGTGGTACCGCCTACCGTCCTGGTGATTTACACATATGTTTCATCTTTCAGCATCAAACCAACAGATTTCTCATAACAACAAACACCAATAGGTTCGTATTAAACTTCTAAACATAATGAAGCACATTAACTCGTCAATCAAGACCTAAATAATGCATACTACCCTTTTTGATTCAACGACAACAATTCCCGAAATCACAATCAACAATCACATATATAAATCACATAAATCAGCCATGATAACAATTATGAACAAAACTTCAAACCTAGATGCATATTCTAGTGTTAGATGTCCACGTACTCACCTCGATTCTTTGTAATTCTAAGGGAAATCACTCGGATTTCATCGCCAAAGTCGATTCACCTCGCTGCCCAGATCCACATCATTATCCATATCTAGGTCACTGCTTGTTAAAACAATAGACTTGGGCCCAATTCAACCTCAAAAGTTAACTCAAGAGGTGAGGTACTCAAGCTATTAAATAGAAACACAATATAAGGCTGCATTGCCAATGTGGGATGAACAAGTCAACACGCCCCCTCACACGAGGCGCAGCTTACTGCGAGCGCAGTCCCAACATCAATGGCTTAGCTCTGATACCATGTTGAAACAATAGACTTGGGCCCAATTCAACCTCAAAAATTAACTCAAGAGGTTGAGGTACTCAAGCTATTAAATAACAGCACAATATAAGGCTGCATTGCCGATGTGGGATGAACAAGTCAACACTGCCCTTACGCCACAATAGCCCATTTGTTATGCCCAAATACGTCCCAACATTTCCGGATGTCACCGAAGTTAACTAACACTACCCGTTAGAGTTCAGATTGCCACCAACACCACACCACTGTCTGACCTATCGTCACTACTACCAGAACAGAAAGGGGGGTTGTCGGACTTATTTGCTGCTGCCGTCCACGAGAATTACCGGAGTACCGTCATCGTGGACCAGTCGCCGAAACAGAGGCAACCACCGGACAGGGAGGGACTCGCCATCCTGCGTGATGGTCGCCGTTGTAACCCAAACTGGAGGAGGTGGTCTCGATTTGGGGGGGGGGGTTGCCAGTCGTCGATGTTTCCTTGCACGCTGCTGTTTTTTTATTGGAAAAGAAGAAGAAGCGTAGCCGGGCGATAGTCAACCCTGCCTGACCGTCGCCGTCCGTGATTGTTCGCTAGTGTCGATGCGTGCTGCGATGGAAGAAGAACTAGGAAGCAACGATTGAAATTAGGAGAACCCTACAATGGTGTGTGTCTATATATATATATATATATATATATATATATATATATATATATATATATATATATATATATATATATATATATATATATGCCTAGGGTTTTGTAATTCGTAATTTAAAATAATGTGTCTAAGTATAAACACATTTTCCGGGCCAACTTACACCGAATTGAGACCCGTCCACGTTGTTGGATTCGATTCGTCAATCCCTGCCCAATGATATAACTTTTATAATCAAAAGACAAACATTTATAAGTTCCACCGGGTCCGCCTTAATTCTCTCGATTAATTAGTACCGATCAATCTTTTAATTTGAATATTTGCAGATATACTAAGATTAATTTCGTTATATTGAGACGATTATAATCTCCAAAATATCTTTTAATTCGTTAAAAGAATAGATTTTCTTAAATAAATAACTCTTATCTATTTAATTATCGATTAACTTCTAGAGCGGTTTCTAGGGCATTACAAGGTTTTATTGAAAACTATTATACTTGGTATTGTCATGGAGAGGTATTGAGTCCGTCATGTTTTCCTCAAACAATAGGAAGTTCTCATGTGGTTCCAGAGTCGGTTTCTGCATGGGGTGATTATGAGAACATAGCATGGGACCAACGGGTTGTGTATGATGTTATGGCATCTACTGCCTTTCCTGCATCGTCTCATTTTATTGATGTTCCGAGCTCATCATCTTTTCAACATACTGATGATGTTAAACATTTTTTGATCAATTTTTAGAAGTGTTGAATGCAGATGATGAACCCTTATACCCTGAGTGCGATGGGAAATTGACATTTGTTTCCGTGTCAGTAATCATATTGGATTCTCCCAGAGGCCTGTATGTCTAAATGCTTACAAACTGTTGGTGGCTATTTACCAAAAGAGCACAATTTACCTACTGATTTTATAGATTAAAGATGATGATTTCTGAGTGAGGACTCTTAGTCATTAAAATTGATGCATGTCCTGCTGGTTGTATGTTGTTTTGAAAAAATGATGAACAACTTGACACAATCACCACATGTGTATGAAATTTTTATGGGGAAGAAAGTTCTCCAAAATTTCCTGGGATTATATCTGTAAGACCAAAGATGACGGGGGCCTTGGACTCAGAAACTCTTACACTTGGAATCAGACTATGCTAGTTACAAATCTGTGAAATAAAGATAAAAAATACCTTGTGGGTTAAATGGGTCTGTAATGTGTGCCTGTAGAATAGGGGCATTTAGTAGTGGATCCCCAAAAAGAGTGATTCATACCTCTTTAAGAAAATGGCAATTGTGATAGACTCCCTTATCAGCAAATATGGTGATGGTGCCTTGCTAGTTAACCAACTGAACCTAATAGTTGTGAGGAAAAGTTGGATACTAGCCAAGTGTATGATCTAATGCGCACCAAATCAAACAACAAAGATTGGATGAAGTTTATTTGGCATGAGTACATCCTTCCCCGGTTCTCATTTACAACATAGTTGACATTCAGGGGAAGGCTTCCTACAAAAACAAACCTAGTGTTCAGAGAAATAGATCGTACATGCAGTCTATGTGGTGTGGAGAAAGAGAGCAGAAATCATCCCTTCTTCACCTGCAACAAAACACAACAAGTATGGAAGGCCATTAGGGATTGGCTTCATATTGGGGTTTCACTTAGCACATTGGTTAGGGCTATGATATGGATTAAAAAACAGGATAGTGTAAAACGAATCAGGAAGAAAGCTTGGAGATTGGCTTTCATGAACATTGTGTACTGCATTTGGAAACTAAGAAATGATGTCTATTTTGATAAACATCGTGGAAGGAACTGTGAAGAGGATCAAAACAATGGTGTACAAGGTTTTGTTCTCATTAGACCATCACTACCACTTTGAACTATAAGTGTGTGACTTGGTGTGGAAACAAATCAAGATTTGGTTATCCTAGGTGGGGACTACCAAAGAAGGGTTTGGGTCCATGGTTGTGGCTGATTTGGGGTGGTAATGGAAACACACCAACTTATGATTATCTTCTCCTATATTGGATCATCATATGTTTGTATGGCCCCATTGGACTTTCCTTTGTGGTTTTGGGGCGTTGGAAACACGTCAACCTCTAAATATCTATCCTTGGATATATAGAGAGTATCATGGGTCTCGGGTGGGGTGATTTCCAAGGTGGTTTCTGCTGATCAGGGGCGACCGGAAACAAGCCAAACTTTGATTACACAACTTCTTAGAGTTGGATAACCAAAAAATGGCATGGGTTTAGGGGGGTGATTCCCTTGAAGGATCATGGTTTTGGGGAGATTGGACACAAGCCAACCTTCGATTACCCATTAGTTAGATAATTAAAGAGTGGCATGAGTCCTGGGTGGGGAGCTTTTCCATGGTGGTCTTTAGCTGTTTGAGATGATTGGGCACATGCCATTCCTTCATATTTCATCCATTCATGAATGGATAATAAGAGAGTGACATGGGTCCCGGGTGTGGTGATTCTCATGGTGGTTTTGGAATTTCTGGGGTGATTAAAAACAAGTCAAGCTTTGATTAGCCTAATCCTTAGAGTTGGAAAACCAAAGAATGACATGTGTCCCCGTGGGTTAATCCCTGGATGGATGGTGGTTTTGGTGAGATTGGAAACAAGCCAACTTCAAATTACCCATTTGTTGGATGATTAGAAAGTGGGATGGGTCCTGGTGGGGTGTTATCCCATTCTGGTTTTGGCTATTTGAGATGATTGGGCTCATGTTACTTGATAAGTCTGTTTTGTACGCATTTATCTTCTCTATATTTAATGTGTTGTTGTCTAATTTTGGATCAAACAAATCAATTTCTCAATGGTTTTTATAAGTTTTTATTTATAATTGTGAAAATGCACAAAAGTTATGTCTTCTTATAAAAAGAATAAAAGTTGGGTCAAAAGTGGTACAAAAGTGTAAAAGATTGTGCAAATGGAATGCAACGGAGCAAGGAGACAAAAGATGATGAAAATCATTGAAATGAAAAATGTGTATTCAAATATGGCGATGCACCCCGTCAAAAGATTTGAGGTCAAACGAATTAAAAAAAGACCAAAAAGGAAATTGTTTGAAAAGAAAAAGTAAAAAAATGTTGATTCAATTCAAAATTAATTTGTTTGACCCAAACTGGTTCGGAATTTGAAGTCGGTGCAGAAGGAAAAGTTGTTCAGAATAAAATTTTGAGCAAAACTATATTTTTAGAAAATATTTTCGGACCGGGTCAAACCCGGCTAACCAGGTGCTGCCACGTGGCGCAACCTGGCTGGCCAGCCAACTGTAGCAGCAGCAGCAAGGTTGCACGTCACATTTTGCAGCCACCACAATTTCAATCATTCATTAAAAAAACAAAGAAAGAAAAAGTTAACAAAAAGGAAGTAAGGGACGAAAGAAGAATCGTCGTGCAAATCAAGCAAACGCGCGCGCCAGGCTCACGCGTGTCCCTGGACGACTGAAAATTTCTCCTATAAAAGGAGGCCTTCGCCCTTCATTTAAAAGCAAGCCTTCCTCGGGTCTTTAAGGCTCGGACCTCCTCTCTAGCTCTTGTTTTAAGTTATATTTTTGTATTTTAGTTTAGTTTTGTTCCGACTGTCGTAAAGTGGTTTCGACTCGTCTCTCTGTTGTATGTTTTAATACTTACAATTTTAATAAACTGTTTTCTTTTGTCATGCACTCTTAATATTTAGTATGGGTTAGGACCCGAATTAGGGTTCTGGTTAAATTTGGGCATATACTCTGTATGTTTATTTAATGGTTGGAATAATTGTTCTAGAATTATTTTTATTGTTAAATTAATTAATTATGTTGAGAGAAAAATTAATTAAGTATTGGAAATTAATTTTTGCCTTGTCTATGAGGATATAAAATTAATTAAGCCAAACTTTTTAAAACACATTAATGTTGCCTTGAGAGAGGATAAGTTAATGAAATATTTGTGACAAAAATATTATTATTCCAATTTTTGATTAAATATGTGACAACAGTAAATGGGTCTTTAGCCGCACTTAATTCACCACACATGCCTAAGTGTGGTATAGAATTTAGCTATTTTGCTACTTAATCCCCACTTTTATAAGTGTTGCATGTAGTATTTCATGTGCCCCCATATTATAAATGTGCCAAATTAATTAAAATTAATAATTTAAAAACATATAGTAACACATTTGTTTTTTGCTTTCCACACATCAAAATTTTGTAGGTTCCAAACTTTTTCATCCAATTGACTTATAATTTCCCGATTCCAATTAACCCTAGAGAGGCTAGAATAGATCTCAGCTTTCTACATCTCTAGATCAGCATCTCTCGTTCTTTTTGCTTGAGTTCAACGCCACTCTGCTCGGTCATTAGTTAATTCTCCTTGATTTTGTTTGTGGATTGCTGGGATTTTGGTATAGCTTGGATGGTCTTCAAAAATGGGTGTTGATGGAGGAGGAATTGCAAGTTAACTCCTTCGTGTCACTGTTCATCTGCGACACTGGAGTGCTTGATTCTTCTCTGTTGAAGCACGTTTGATGGCTGGATTTTGGGGGATTATGAGCGACTTGGATTGATCTTTAAAGGACTAAAGGTGGATTCCCGTCCCATTTCATGTTTCCTCTGATTTGAGCAATTTTTCTGGATTCAGAGCACTGTTCACAACGAGGTCTGCTCTCCAGAATTAACAAGGTTCTTTTCTTTTGATTGCTTCAATCCTTTGGTTTATTGGTCGTGTTCTAGGGGGCTTCAAGTTTCTAGTCTTGGTTTTCTGAATCAAACAATAGATTTTAGTTTCCCATGAATTATGGCTTCGTGACATTGTTCATGTTTTTTGTTACTGTTCTTTCAACACTGCAATGTTAACTTTTACCATGCGAGAGTTCGAAATTAGGAGTGTGAAGTATGTTTTGGATGGAGGAAGTACTACCCAATTGACATTACAGATGATATTCTGTTATATTCTGTTTCCCTTTTCCACTTACAACTTCTTGTGTTTAGTTTTTGGAATAAAATTCTTAACAATGGGTATTAATTTGAGAGTGCTAAGGAATTTTTGTTTCCTCCTAATGAAAAAAAGTCTTTGTGAGTTATTAATACTAAAGACATTAGTGTTGGGTGATATGAAGTTAGTATAAGGTGACAAAAAAGATACACAAGATATGTAGTATCTTCTTGAAATTCTCATGCTTTATAAATTTAAATATCTTGGGCTGTGAGGAGCAAATTCCATGCTTTATGCTGCTGCAGATATGATCCTCTCTCCTCTTTTCCTTCACCACTTCACCTAAATTTAAAAATTACTCTTTGCTTTTTCACTACTTTTAATTTCCCTCCTCTGTCCTTTTTTCGTTCATTCTCTTGGTTTATTTTTTACCCATTGCATTCAAGATTTCTTAAGCTAAGTGATCAGAACAGTGAAAATATTGAATGATTATGTGAGCCATGTCCAACTGCAGGTGCATATAAACTCAACAATGCCCTAATTACTTTGAAATTTTAGGATTCATGTCTTTAATATGGAGGAGTTCATTTTATGGCTGGTATGTTCTAAATGACCAAGACTTATGGCTTGTGTGCTAAGTATCTGTTTTTTGTTTTCTCTTTCGGGTTGCTCTTGCTCACAAATATAAAAAAAAGTGATTATAAGTTAATATATGGATTTGATGTCTGGCGTGCCTATGTTTCTTCAGAATTTATTCTAACGTACAGGTCAACCATACTATCTTTGTGCAGATCACATAACGTTTTAGATCATCCTAATTACATTCTGACTTGATTATTTGTTTTGCTGGTGTCTTGATGATTGTAAGCCTGCTAGCTGATAAGGTAGCCCTTACGTTATCTGATTCCCTAACTGAAATTTTAAGTTTAACGTCATGCTCTTACGTGAACTTTCCTTCTCCAATTGCAAGCTATGGAATTACTTCCAAAGAAGAGCATGGACATTTTGAATGAGATCGGGTAGTACTTGCTAGCCTTTGTATTTATACAGATACAAATAAATGAGCGTGTTCATAATTATTTTAGTTAATTTCTGCCATATCTAACTGTTCGATACTACTTGGTTTTTAAAAGGGATGTTCCGGAAATTCTCAAAGGTCTGACAGAATAGTTCAACATTGAGAAGTTCCTGGCCATATTTTTGGACTCTGGACTTGAGTACAGGTTAAGCTTTTAAGTTTATAATCGATTGATTATTTTTTGTCTTGAACATGATTGTGTTTTGGATGGAGTTCCTATGGTTTGACATATGGTTCTTCTAGCAATTTCTAAAACAACAGCAGGTGTTGAAGCTTAGATGCTGAGCTCGTCTACAATTCACTGATACTTCCTTTTTATTATTTTCATTAGGTTTTGAATCAGAATGTGTGTGACTGTGTGTGCAACATGGAAACACAATACTTGATCCATCACACTTGTTATTAGGATTTTGGATGTTTACAATTTGTTGGTCATTGTTTATTAGTGTGTGTTAGTGTATTTGTAGTAATTAGTATGCATGTAACCATCTTTATGATTCGGTATTGGACACTTTTGTACGTTTACTAATTTGGGTAATAATAATTTACATGTTACCTTCGATCTCTTCCCTTTGTGACGGGTTTATAGTTCTTTTTCTCTTATATTGGACCTATCGTTTCCGCCGAGGTTTTCTATGGTAAACAAAAGTGTTGTTGTAATCAAAGGTATCAGATGATAAAATGCAAAAAAATGAGAGTTGGCAAAGAAAGAATCTTCCATAGAGAACGAAGCACATAAAAATTTCGAAGGTGTATTGTTTCGGAAGTTGAGTCAGGGAGGAGTTTAAGGAATGACTAGAGGTTATCAAGCGACGCTGCTTGATCCTTCAAAAGTTATGTTAGACAATAATATTAATAGTATTTCTTGTAGTATTGGTTATGGTAGTGTTTCATTATTAGTCAGCTTTCTAATCCTATTTGTGGTAGATGTTGTATGTTAGTTAGTTTCCATTCTCTATTCCTAGTTGTGTTAGGAGTCTCTCCTATATATACTCTATCATGTACTCCATAATTCAAAGAGCAATATTATCATTCCAATATTTTCAACATGGTATCGGAGCCACCGCTCTTGGTGACCTAAAAAAAAAAAGTTCTTTGCTCCCGCCGCCGCCGGTAATTCCGGCGATGGCGGCTCCACCCTAATCTCCTCTATTTTCTTTTCCTTCTTTATCCTCAAATCAACTTCTCCACTCAAATGAAAAAAAAAANAAGTAGTGAAAGAGGAAATAAGACCTCTACAACTCACCCCTTCAAGAAGGAAATAGGGCATTGCCCGGATCCAAGAAAAAGACAAAAAATGTCAAGGATCTTCAGTCAAACATGCATCTCCAGTAACCTTCTCTCTTCTTCTTCGACGTCAGCAGCTACAAGTGCACGTCAACCTTCTCTCTTCTTCACCGACGTCAGCAGCTAATAGCGCACATCAATTTCTCTCTTCTCCAACGACGTCAGCAACCAGCGCGCGTCAGATTTCTCTCTTCTCCAACGACGTCAGCAGCCACCAACGCGCGTCACACTTCTCTCTTCTCCAACGATGTGAGCAGCCACTGGCACATGTCAGACTTCTCTCTTCTCAAAGTTTCTTGTTTCCAGCTAGTGTCCAAGCTTCCTCTTGCTTCAGCCAGAGTTCAGCTTGAGGGGGGATGTTAGACAATAATATTAATAGTATTTCTTGTAGTATTGGTTATGGTAGTGTTTCATTATTAGTCAGCTTTCTAATCCTATTTGTGGTAGATGTTGTATGTTAGTTAGTTTCCATTCTCTATTCCTAGTTGTGTTAGGAGTCTCTCCTATATATACTCTATCATGTACTCCATAATTCAAGGAGCAATATTATCATTCCAATATTTCAACAAGTTAACATCTCTCCTCGACGAGGACTTACAGCCTGTTCTATAGGACTAAAAAAAGAATTGGATGTTGGAAGAAACTGGAAGAACGGTTAGAAACTGAAAGGACTGGAAAAAATTAAATGAAACTGAAAAAACTATAAAAAATTGGAAAATAAAAAGAAACTTTAAATTATTTTTTTGTGTATTTTTATATTATTCTCATTCTAATTCTTGTTGTTATATATTATTATTGTTGTTGTTGTTGTTGTTATGAATGTCTTGACAAATATTATTATTTTTCATACACAAAAAAACACAAATTTTGCAAAAAAAAATTAATTAGATTCTAAAATTAGCATAAATATCAAAGTTTTAAATATTTAAAAGTTATTGTGGCTACGGTGCACGTAACTTTATTTATGCAGTACTTATCATAAAATAATATATTTGTAATTATACTTTATATATTACAAGATTTAGTTTTAAATATCAGACATGTCACATAATGTAATCAAAGCTATTTTGTCTTTAATTGTTGATATTTTTTTCATTGTAACCCTAAATAAAGACATATTTTTTTTTATATTTTTTATGTTTTACTTTACTAAGGCAGCGAACAACTAAAGATAAACTTAAGATGATGTTGTTTGATGAACAAACTAAACACTACAAAAAACTGCAGAAATGGCAACGGAAATATTCTGTTGCCAAAGCCTTATTTCCGTAGGTAATCTTGGTAACGACGGAAATAACGACGGAATCTTTTCCGTCGCTACTTTTTTGTTAGCAATAAATGTAACGACGGATATTTCAACCCAATCTGTATTTATAACTTTGTCAACCCAATCTGTATTTATAAAACCTAAGCTATCAAGCCTTTTATACATCCAATCTCAATTTTCGTGAAAGTCATTCATTCTCAGAAATTCAAACAAATAAATTAACATACTATTAAGTTATAAAATTTATTACAAAAAAACTAAAAAAATTAATATAAATACAACAACTACGTACAATATTCAACAACATACATTATACGTACATAATCTTTTTATAACATTTACAATATCTAAAATACCCTATGAAACAATTAATACGCATAATAGTCATTCACTAAACCCTAATTTCAACAATTAATAATCCTCTTATGTTTCAAGCATATAATGAACTTTTAAAAACAAAATGACAAAATTTTGGGGAAAAAACCCTAATTTCAAAAATGGTCAAATTTAGAAGAAAATGTTAAATAATTTGCATATAATAATATATTTTCTATTCATATCATCAAAACAATAATAAATGAAAAATAATAATCTATAATCGAAATTTTTTACTATTTTAATTGTAAAATAAAATTGAAGAAAACCTGAGATTTGTGGATAGAAATCGGCACAAGGTAGGCGGAGACGGTGGCGATGGGATGGTTAACGGTGGCGATAGGCGGCGAGGTGGACGGCGACGACCTGGAGGGCGAGCAGCAGCGATGGGACGGACGGACTTGCTTGTAGTTTTGGTGTCTGATGGTTTCTATCTGGAAAAGAAGAGCTGGTTTTTCAATTAAAATTGGGCGACGGAAATATTCCGACGCTGACAAAATGACACAGTTTTGAACCGCATTAATAAAATTCTGTATGGCGACGGTTTGTTTCCGTCGCTAGTGTAACGACGGTTCCATTCCGTCGCTAATTCTCTCGTCAAACGTGGCGCGCACCCCTCCCCGCGTCTACTTAACGACGGAAGTTAGGTTCCGTCGTTAAGTCGGGTAGTCATCTCAAATCCGTCACTGATTCCGTCTCTATTGGCGACGGAAAAGAGTCCGTCGCCATTTTCCGTCATCCTTTTCGCGTTTTCTTGTAGTGAAAGATGCAATGAAGAAGTTTAGAGATGAAATAACAATTAATATTCTACAATGCAGTTAAACTTAAAATGATTGGATTATTTATATTTATATGCGCAATATTTTACATAATAGGGATAAGTTTAGTTGTATTTTAATTATTGGTGGTATTGTTTGCAATATGAATTTGTTTTTTACAATTTTAGGGTTGCTTTTTCTTTTTCAAGGTATTGTTCACTCTTGGTTTTCATAATGTAGTACTCCCCACCCCATTCCATTATTATATTTTAGATTAAGATATTAATGTTTTCTTTATATAAATTTAGATTAAAAAAACATTTTATGTAACTAGTTTATCCATAGTTTTTTAAATAGTTTAATATATTGATGTTTTCCTATTTTATCATGTAGAGTAATATACAAAAAATGATATTATTTATATTAAAAAGTTGAAGAAAGAATAATAATCAATGTGATTTATAAAAATAGTTGGAATAAACTTAAAGAAACTAGAAAAAACTGGAAGGTAGTGGAAAAAACTGGAAGAAACTAGAAGAGCTATAAGAAACTAGAAGAAATTGGAAGAAACTGGAACGAACGGTAAGAAACTAGAAGTTAAGAGTTAAGGCCTAAAGAACATGCTCTTAGACTCTGTTCTATTCAACTTATTTTTTCTGATCTGATCTAATTTTTTGTAGTTCTGATATAATCTGATATGATATAATTAGATCTGATCTCATTAATTATGATATGATTTAAAACTCAAATCAATAATTTGATTTGACTTTATAATAACGTTTTAAAATTGTAATGATAATTCATATTATAATATAATCAATATTTTTTATTTTATGATTATTTTGTAATGAAATAAAATTAGTTAATTCATATATTAGAATAATCATTCATATTAGAATGTAATAATATTTTATATTTTATGATTAATTTTTTATTAAATAAGAATATGGATTTAATATTTTAATAATTAGTTCATATATTCATTAAAATAAATATTTAATTCATATATACATTAAAAAGTAATTAAATTTAGATAATCAATATAGAAAAGATATAGTATTTTTATTAAAATATCTCATTCTTATAAAATATCAGCGTGTGCTTTGTACTACAAAATTTTTTTATGATTAATATAACACCATAGATATAATTGTTATTTCAGTTATACTAAAAAATACTCCGTATATGAATATCAAATATTAATTTTATTTAAGTTATGATCAAAGTTGATCAACTAGATGTAGTAAAAGATCAAAACTTTAGAAATTCAAATTACATGTAGCAATAAAATTATATTTTAAAAGTAGAATTAGATTGACATTGACAATGTATTTTAAAAATAATTTTTCCCACTTTTAATAATTAAGAATTACTTTCTCAGTTTTCTATTTAACTTATTTCTAAAATTTATTCGTTTTCATTTTTAAGAATAATAATAATAATAATAGTAATAATAATAATAAGGAAAATAATAATGCTTGATTGGATTTGATCTTATCTGATTTTAATAAGAATAATAAAAAAAGCAAAAAAATAATTAGTTTCGTTACTGACGGGCCGATATCCAGGGGGCGGCCCAAATGAATCATTTAGTAGACTCCGGGCCAGGCGCACAGAAAATACTTGAACATGAGTCGGCCCATAATGTGAGGCTCGGTCTACCTCAACCCAAGACAACTGGCAGAGCCAGTCCAGGAGAGGAGATTCCGCTGAAGAACGGAGATGAAGCCGGAAAAAGAGGATCGCGCCATTAACGGGATGGACTCCCTTTGATTATATATTACCTTAATTGTCTAGAATCCATGTATAAATAGAGGAGGTCCAAGATGGGAAAGACTCAAGCTAAATCAAGCTAATAATACACACATAATTCTTGAGTTCTCGTTCTCATTTCATTTCTTACGATCCGTTCTTCTGAATCGGATCATTTGGTGAATATATTGTCCATCAAATTGGTGCTTTCATTGAGAGCTCGAGGATCATACTCAGGAAAAACCTTCCAAGAGGACGATGGTGCAGACACACAGCAACGCAAATTTAGGTACTAGAGCCCCCCACCAGGGCAAGAACAGCGCCACCGGAGGCCGGCACCCTCCTATCATCCAGAGGGTCGGAATCACGGCGGAACAATTCAAGGAGGTGCTGGCAGCTCTGACACCCAATCGCGAGATTGTGGTAGAAGACGCGACCGGAGAACCCCCAGGCGGGAAGGCTGGACTTGCGGACTCGTGGGGAAAGAAAAAGAAGAAGGTAAGGCGGTCCCAAAAGAAGAAGGCGACCAAGCCCAACGGGAAAGCAAGGGTGGAGAATGAACTGTCCAGACTGGACGAGGAAGATGAATCGTCCTCCTTTGAGCGGGCGTCAGCCTTCGATTGGTTGGGGGACCCCAAGTCAAAGAAGCCCCGAACCTCAGCGTTCGAGCGGCTGCAGCACACACAGTCGGCTCGCAAGGGCGACCTGAGAGAGACACTCAAGGAGAGGAGAGGAGAATCCTCAGCGACTTCCAAGATCGGCTCGGAAGAGCGACGAAAGGCGATCGAGGACAAGGAAGCGGTCGAGTTGTGGAGGACGTACGAGCGATTGGAGAAGCGGCTGGATGCCCAAAACCCGTACCGCCAGGCGGTCTTCAGCGAAGTAATGCCCTTTTCCAGAAGGATAATGTCTTGCCCTCTCCCGGACAATTTTAAGACTCCACAGGTCAAAGCATACAACGGGACGACCGATCCCCAGGATTACCTCGCTCGCTTCGGGGCGAACGTGGTTATGTATGCATACCCCGAAGAAATTAAGTGCCGGTGCTTCCTGGCAACATTGGAAGGGCAAACTTGTGAATGGTTCCATAAGTTGCCCAAAGGGTCTATTGACAAGTGGAGCGACCTGGCCAACAAATTCTTGGAGCACTTCGCGTCCAGCAGGAGGCAAAAGCTCCCATTCTCACACCTGCTCAATGTGAAAATCCGGAAGGGGGAGCAACTCCGAGAATTTATCAACAGGTGGGAGAAGGAGGCTAGGGACGTCCATGGGGCGGAGGATCAGGCCTTGATCGCTATGCTCCAAGCGGCACTCCCTCAAGGGGATGTGCGCAAGGAGCTGCGACAAAATCCGCTCTTGACCTACCATGAGATGCTAGCCAGGGCGAAGTATCTGGCGTTTGAAGAAGAAGAAAATGACGAGCCACCTGTCCAGAAGGAGAAGAAGAGCGGGCAGCCTGTGGCCAAACCCTACAGGTTACCAGGCGAGCAGACAGCTTGTCCATGCGGTACAATCCTTTCCAGCCCCTCCCCGTAGTCGGGAAAGCTATGGCATCCAAGACGCGCCCAGGTACAGTGAATACCATCGTAACAGCACCCACAACACGTCAGAGTGCGTTACGTTGAAGAAGGAAATGGACCAGCTGATCGCTAAAGGACCGCCTCCTCGGCCAGAGCGACCAACATCGGGTAACCGGACCAGGAGGAGACCGGCGGCCCCCGTCGCATCGATTACAGCAGGGGATGGGCAGGAGGATGGAACACGACATCTGGGGAGAGACTGCGACGACCTAGATGAGGAAGAAAGGCAGAACCGCCAACACTTGGGGTGTCGGTTCATTATAGGTGGCAATACCGGAGGGGACTCGGCGTCCTCAAGGAAGAAATGGAAGAACACGGTGCACCTAGCCGAGGTGCAAAGACCACCGCTGCCCAAGCAAAAGAAGAAGGAACCTTTGGTCTTCACAGATGAAGATTACCCGCTAGTTCTCAGCCCCCATCGGGATGCGCTGGTAATAAAGGTGGAGATCAATAACGTGGTCGTCCACCGCACATTGGTCGATACTAGTAGCTCGGTCAACATCATGTACAGCAACACCTTCAAGGAGCTGGGATTGTCCCGGGGCGACCTGAAGCCAATCTGTACCCCGCTGTTAGGATTTACGGGGGACACTATCGAAGCAGAAGAAACCATCACAGTGAAGGCTGGGGTAAGAGATGGCACCCACTGGCTCTAGCTCGATATGGAATTTATGGTAGTGCAGCTTGACTGTGCACACCATTTGATCCTAGGGCAACCGGGTCTGGAGGACTTAGAGTGCGTAATCTCCCCCGTCCACCTGTGTATGAAGTTTATCACCCCCACCGGGGTAGGAGTGGCTAGAGGGAATCGGAGTTTGTCCTGGTCGTGCTATGTCACGGCGACCAAGAGCCAAGCACGGGTTGATGAGAATGTTAGCACGATCTGTGCTACCATACAGAAGGAAGAGGGACGACCCAGAGCAGAGCCGGCGGAGGAGGTAGAAGAAGTCGCTTTGGACCCAGCCAAGCCGGAGCAGAAGGTGAAGATATGTAAGACCCTACCACTTAGGTTGAAGGAGCAGCTAGTGGGCGTTCTTGGTTCGTTCAAAGTGCTGTTTGCCTGGGGTCCAGAGGATATGCCTGGGGTCGATCCACGAATCATTTTCCACAGATTGGCAGTGGATCCGACCCACAGGCCGGTCAAACAGAAGAAGCGTTTCCTTTCCTCGGAGAGAAGAGACTTTGTCACTAAGCAGGTGACAACCCTGTAGTCCATCGGGCACATCCTGGAAGTCCGCTACCCGGAGTGGTTGGAAAATGTAGTCCTCGCATCCAAAGGGAACACCTGGCGGATGTGCGTCGATTACACCGACCTGAACAAAGTTTGCCCAATGGATCCTTTCCCTCTCCCCAACATTGACCAGTTGGTGGATGAGACGGCAGGGTGCGAATTAATGAGTTTTATGGATGCGTTCAGTGGTTATCACCAGATCAAGATGGCTATAGCAGATGAAGAGAAGACCGCCTTCATCACCCCCAATGGGGTATACTGTTACAAGGTAATGCCCTTCGGTCTAAAGAACGCTTGCGCGACCTATGCACGGATGGTCAACAAACTTTTCGCGTCGGGGTTGGGGGGATGCATGGAAGCATATGTGGACGATATGATCGTCAAATCCAGGCAGATGGAGTCTCATGCCCAGGATCTGGAAAGAGTGTTCAGAATCATGAAAAAGTTCCAGCTCCGCCTCAACCCCAAAAAGTGCACATTTGGGCTTCATGGTCAGTCGAATGGGGATCGAGCCCAATACAGAGAAGGTAAAGGCGATTTTGGAGATGGAACCTTCGCAGAACGTAAAGGAGGTCCAACAGCTCACAAGAAGGATCGCTGCTCTCCGTCGCTTCTTATCGAAGATAGCTGATCGAGCGGCACCCTTCTTCCAGACGATAAAGAAAAACAAAGGTTTTGTTTGGACCGAAGAATGTCAGCGGTCCTTTGAAGGATTGAAGGCGTACCTTCTCTCACCGCTAGTGCTTTCGAATCCGGAGCCTAGAGAGACTTTGTTCCTGTACATAGGAATCTCTCCTCGGGCAGTGAGCTCAGTACTTGTGATCTAGTTTCACACCTCCTATTCAAAGTGAACAAGTGAACTCACTACATGTTCCCCAAAATGATCAAAATATTGGAGATCAACCTGACGCTATGCTACCTACCTTAATGGTAAACTTCTTACAACAAATGACTAATGCCCCTGTGTTTCAACAACCTCCACCACAACCTCGTTTGACCACTTTCAAAACCTTGAAAGATAATGGTGCTGAGGAGTTTCTGGGAGATCGAATGGCCGAACCCCAAATTGCTCTTGAATGGATCGAGCAGACCGCTCGTGTACTACAAAATTTGAACATACCTCTCGTTGATCATCCAAAATTTGCATCTCAATTGCTCCGCAAGGAAGCCTACGAATGGTGGAAACGTACTGACGAAAATCCAAACACACCCAAACCTTGGACTTGGGAATTCTTCGATTGGGCGTTCAAGAAGGAATATATACCAGCTCGATTCCGTGAAGAGAAACGTGCTGAATTTATCGAATTAAAGCAAGGAGATATGACACTCCCTGAATACCGACAAAGATTTGTCCATCTCGCTCAATTTGCACCCACGCTGGTGAGTACAGCGGCGGACCGCATTGAGGAGTTTCGCAAAAGACTTCGACCTGACCTCAGGCCGCACGTATCTACTATTCAAACTATGGATTTCATTGAGGCATACGATCTAATCTCCAAAGCCGAAAAAGATCTAAGTGATTACTATGAAAGTCTGAAGAATAAGAATGTCAATCCAAATGAACGACCAAATTCAA